CTTCCGATCTGCCAGCAGCCGGCTGCCCGCGGAGCTGCTGCGGCGGCGTCTGGGGCTGTCTCCGTCCTGCGGACGAGGTGACGGCGCCCGGCGGCTTCTGCGCCTAGCTGGGCCCAGGGAGGAGCGGGCTAGACACTTTTTATTTTGGAAGAGGGGCGAGTCCCAGCAGGAGCTTCCTTTCCGGCCTGGCTCGCTCTTTAGTGCGTCCCGCTCCGGCCCGAACTCTGGAAGATGACTCCGGGGTCTGCTCTGTGTATTCCAGCGGCGAAGGCTCGGGGAGGCAGCCGAAAGTAGTAACACTTCGTAGTAGCAGCTGATGAAAAAGTGAGCCGAGGCGGCACAGACTCGGCTGTCCCCGCGTCCCCCAGCGCCCGCTGTCCCTCGCCGCTCCTTTCCCTCGGCTCCCCGGCGGCCGCAGCATGAAGTGGCGCAGAGATGGCCAGGAGAGGTAAGAAGCCGGTGGTGCGAACGCTGGAGGATCTGACGCTGGACTCGGGTTATGGTGGCGCGGCGGACTCGGTGCGCTCCTCCAACTTGTCTCTGTGCTGTTCCGACTCGCACCCAGCGTCCCCGTATGGCGGGAGCTGCTGGCCGCCTCTAGCTGACTCCATGCACAGCCGGCACAACAGCTTTGACACCGTCAACACTGCCCTGGTGGAAGACTCCGAGGGGCTGGACTGCGCCGGCCAGCACTGCTCGCGGCTGCTGCCGGACCTCGACGAGGTCCCCTGGACCCTCCAGGAGCTGGAGGTGCTGCTGTTGCGCTCGCGGGATCCCCGGGCAGGCCCGGCGGCCCCCGGCGGCCTGCCCAAGGACGCGCTGGCCAAGCTGTCGACGCTGGTGAGCCGGGCGCTGGTGCGCATCGCCAAAGAGGCGCAGCGCCTGAGCCTGCGCTTCGCCAAGTGCACCAAGTACGAGATCCAGAGCGCCATGGAGATCGTGCTGTCCTGGGGCCTGGCGGCACACTGCACGGCGGCCGCACTGGCCGCGCTGTCCCTCTATAACATGAGCAGCGCCGGCGGCGACCGTCTGGGCCGCGGCAAGTCCGCGCGCTGCGGCCTCATCTTTTCCGTGGGCCGAGTGTACCGCTGGATGGTGGACAGCCGCGTGGCGCTGCGCATCCACGAGCACGCCGCCATCTACCTGACGGCCTGCATGGAGAGCCTCTTCCGGGACATCTACGCGCGGGTCGTGGCCTCCCGGCTGCCCTGGAGCTGCAGCGGCCCCGGCCCGGGCTCCAGCTCCCGCTTCGGCTCTTGCCCCAGCGCGGGCCCCGCGGCGGGGAAGGAGGGGGGTA